CATTTAGTGACGAATCATCTGTTACTAATTTTTGATAGAAATATTGCACCACTAATTTAGTGATCGAAACAAATCCTTCACTAATAATGATAAAAAATACTTGTCACTAATTAATAAACTTTCATTTATAATTTATTTTATAATTAAAATTTTTTTGCAAGTCCAATCACTGCCATGTCACCTCCCATGCCATCTTACAAGTACACATCACCCACCACCCACCACACCGTCGCCACTTGGACCTCCAAGCCACATCACTACTATGTCAATAATTTATTTTAATTCTCTTTAAATGTGATGTTACCTTGTCTCGAATCCAAAATCTCTCTTTTTTAATATGTACTTTTTTCCAATTGAGCTGTGGACTTTTGATTCTTAATATGCAAAATTTAATATATATTACTTAATTGAACACAAATATATGTAATTTAAATGTATTTTATATATATCTGATATATTATTGTTTAAATATGTTAATAATATATTTTATCATATATACAACCCCATTAACACATGTAAATATATAATTCAATATTTCTTGTTAGTTAATAAATATATTATTTAATATAATTTTATATTACCTATGTTATACTTAAAATATTTTCATATGAAAATTTTTTTATTTCATATTTAAATTTATGTAATAAAATAAAAAATTATTTTTTATTTTTATATCATTTTATATTATATATTTTACTTATACTAAGAGGAAAATTATTTGTGTAATTATTTAATATGGTAATTTTGAAGAATTTTTTTCATGTGAACATCTTTTTGTATATTATAATTTTTTTATAAAATATCCAACCTTATATTACTAATTTTTTTAATTAAAAATATGTGTCACTAATATCAAGATTTAATGACAAAAATTAGTGGGATAAAATTTGACCAAAATGTGATGACATTTTATATCCATCACTAATTTATGTAATTAGTGACATATTTCAGTCCACCACTAATGCCTATAATTATTTTAATCTATCACTAAACGTCTGTCACTAATTTTAATTTTTTTAATAGTAGTTACTCTCTTGGAAGAAATGCCTACTGATGTAGTGAGTACTTGTAATGGTTCACAAGGTCCTTGATTAAATTTGTGGATTGTAATAGCTTACAAGTACCCAATTCAAACTTATGAAAGATAGTAGAGAAATCTCAAGTTGTTTGTTTGGGAAATGGATGTAGACTCAAGTGTTAGAGCTAAATCATGATAAATCAATGTTTGCATTCTCTCTTCGCTCATATCTTTATATTTCCAACAATGGTAGTTTGTAAAAATTACTTTAACATTCTTATAAATAAAGTTTAGAACTTAAAGTTTTTCAAACTTTTCTTTACATACCGTTTTGCTGAAAAAGTTTGAAAAGAATCCAAAATTTAATTCACACCTAGTTCACCTTTTTTTAGATATGTTGCCATATCTAATAGAGTATATAAATTCAATCATTGAGTTGTAACAACTACAATTTAAATTAAAATAACATAATAGTATATAGAACAACTACAAATAACCTCCTTGCTACAAGTACAAAAACAAAATTATTGAATTACACAACGTAAATAAACTAGCTAAGCACAACAAAAAATCATTGGTTCTTTCTCTTTAGTTGAGATATTTGAAGCTATTACTTATTAACAAAATTTATGTCTATTATTAACAGCAAATATATACACTTTATAAATAAACTATTACATATTAATAAAAGAAAAAATAATACTATGTTTGAGATGAGTTGGAGCATCACAAAGGCGGTCTCAAGTCCTGTCATGTCTTACAAAGTTTCATGCTGTTTTTTATTTAGGCCTGGATAGACCAATTCCACATGACCGAGATGGAATAAGGTGAAATGAGACATGGACAAGCATGAACACTTCTAATTATGGGGTGTAATTTAATTAAAAACCACCTCTAATACTGAATAGAGGGATACACTAATAATCATTGAATTATTAAAATATAGGGTGCTAAAAAGAATTTCCATAACCATTAAGAATTAAGAAATAGAATAAATTACATGTACAATTTTATTTTTAAAATTTTGTGGAGTTGCATATATGTTATACTTATTTTTTAAATATCAATACATTTATTTTATCAAAATTAGAGAGGTTTTATCTTTATTTATTTTTTTGGTAAAAAGACAAATATATTAACAAATAAAAAGAACAAGTAACTACAAAGTTAACGTTAAAACAGAATTTAAAAAAAAAAACGAGTAGGGAAATTAAAACCGGGAACAACAGAAATATTAGAAAGGTTTTATCTTTATTCACAATCTTGCCATCATAGAATATTCACTTCGAAAAAGAATAATTTACACACAATTTTTGAAAAAGAAGTAGTAAATGCAACGTTAAATCATGGTACTTGAAATTGAAGTTGACCGTTGAAACGTTGGAAAGTAATGAGTGTGAACACAAATAAGGACTTTGTCATTGATTCTCTCTTTTCCCTTTCGTGTTGGATAGGCCATTTCTCTCTGTCTATATCTTTCTTGGCAGATTACTTGTACATACATTGCACCAATTATGTACATATGCAAGGACCAACGTTACATTTAGGTTAACCAATTTAAATACTATATAATTGTGTTTAAAAGTTTAATAAATTCTTCATCCATTTTTATGAAAATGTATTCCCTCGTATAATATTATGTACTCTCCATTTCAAAATATAAACCTTTCGAGGTTTTGACATACAGTTTAAGATATACAACTAACCAATACATTAGATTTAAATATTAATCATATTGTTAAATTTTTTCTTAAATTAATTAATGCATTAAAATATTTCCATATCACTCATATAAAATGAGTAAATAGATAAAATAGTAATAAATGTTGTTTTATAAATTTTTAAAAAGACACATAAAATGAAACAATTTTTTTAAAAAAATCTGAATGAACTTATATTTATAAATTGAGGCAGTATAATTATATATATATATATATATATAAATGGCGGGAGTAAAAAGAATTCAATTAATTTTACTTATTTTTGTTATTTGTAGGAGTAGGACTGAACAATTATTGAAAATTCTGAATTTTCAATTATATATAAGTATGGAGGCTCTGATAAATAAAAAATACAGGTAATTAAGCATATCTTTAAATATTTTTGAATGACATTTAAAAGCATCCATCGATTGTATCTGAGTCAAATACATACGCGTGCATGCTGCCTACATATAAAAGGGCGATCTTTAATTCAACAACCACAATTTATTATATTTATTGCTCTAGCAATTAAGTGACTCGTGAACAACATGAAAGATTTTTATGCCAGACAATCCAAAAAAAAAAAAGAAAAATTAAAAGAAAATTAATATTACTCTCTCCAATCCCTGTTATAAAAGCATTTCCAACTATCCATTAGAATTGATGAGAAATAGTTAAGTTTTTAACTTTATCTGACAAAAGAATAAATTTTTAATTTTACCCCATTTAAATAAAGAATTTTTAAATTTATATTATACTTTCTCTAATAGTTAATGAATTTAAATGAAGGTAATGTTGAAAAAATATAATTAATATCTCATAGTGTGTTTTATTTTAAGGACCAAAAAATACTTTTAGAAAACACCCTATAATAAGAACCACAAGGACTACCTCAATATTATAAATCATTTATAATCAAATTATGCTTTGATCCAATGAATTAGTTAATTATTTTTAAAAATATACAATTTTTCATTTTGACCTTATTTAATATGTTGTCTCGATTGAAAAATTTTATTAATTACACTCTTAATTAAGATTAAAAATATTTTTTAAAAGAAAAAAATTTTAATAATTACATATTGAAAGACTCAAAATATCTTGTATTTTGAACCAAATTCATGTAGTTAATATTTTTTTACAACTTGGTATAATTAAGAAAGATCAATATTGGAAAAAAAAAACTGATACTGATCTTTGCATTATATTTAAGACCAAATACAGCTTTAAAGCTTTGCTCTATAATTAGCACGGATGGGAATATTTCATTCGTTAGCGGTTATTTTTTGAGTGCAGTGTTTTAACCTTTCATTTCATTATGGTAATTTAAATTTGGTTCCTTTTTTCGTGCATTTCTTGATATTGGTTTGACGAATTATATCCCTATTTTTTTAATAAATTAACAAATCTCACTTATAAATTGGTTTTTTGAAGTTGTTTATCAAAGTATGAGAGTAGCAAATCACCAGAAGTGGTGATATATTTGACATGTTATAACCCTGCCTATTATTTTTACAAATTAATGAATCTCACTTATAAATTCTTGTTTTGATTATTGCAAATAATGTAATAATAGTAGCGAATTTTTAGAACGATTTAGTAATGGTCGGAAAAAATAATAATTTACTAACGGACATTCGGTCCTCCTTTATTATTTCCAAAAAAAATTATCTTTATTTAAATTTAATTCAATCTTTATGTATTTTAATGTCTTTTAATGCCATTTCATTAAAAAAATATTATAATTATCTATAGGATTAGTTTTCAAAAATGTATGACAAAATTTAGACAAATTATTAATTCTTTAAAAAAATTATTTGTTATATTTTAAATATATTTTCTTAAACATATTTCAAATAAAGTTCATTCTAACCTCTTCTTGTAAGCCACATATTCAATGGTAACATGCTTACAAGTAAATAAATTGGCCACATTAGCCCTCTATTTGGCTAGAAAGGAAAAAATATAGTAAAAGAAACTTCAAAAAAAGGTGGGGAAGTGTTTTAATTTGTCCTCTCACTTAGTTAAATAGAATGGAAGGGTAATTTTTCCTTCCCTCCATAATGGAGAATTTGGAATGATGATTAAAATTCTTCTTGCCCTCCCTCCAATGAAACCAAATGAATAAACATTCTCTTCCCTTTTCCTTTCTTCCATAAAATGATCTCTCCACTAAAACGCCTCTTCTCTCTTCTATTATGATTTTTCAAGTACTAGTATGTCGTATGAAAACAAGCCTGTCACACTACCAAATTCCAAGAAAATCAGACGGGGAGAAATTGAAGTATAAAATATTCTATTGGCTTCGCTAATCAAACTGCGCGCAATCCATTTGCAATATACATAAGACCTGGCTTACTGGCTAACATATCGTGATCAAATAATCCTATCCTTCAACGCCTAATATCATCTATCATTTACAGAATCAACAGATTTTTTTTCCAGATGCAATTATTAAATATCCTCAATCTCTATCAGATCGATATGTTGAGGTCTATCCTAGGTTTCTTCATCGATGGGAAAGGAACAACCGACTTACACCTTGGACATTTTGGATTGATCTTCGTTATCAGTACATATGACAAGCATCCAGGGCATCCAGCTGCCACTGGTGATGACATCAATCTCTCTTCACTTTCTTCTTCCTGAGCTTCTCTCATGGAAGAGGATGAAGATGAATACGAGGAGGGTGATGGTGATGACAGTGGTTTCCAGAGTGAATTTCTCTTCTTGATTGGCTCTTTCTCTGCTCTTTCAAGTGCTGATTTCACTTTGTCAAGGGTGCATACGCTCTGGTAATTATTACTCGATGGGTTTGAGGATGAAACAAGCTTCAAATCCAAGCTTGTTTCATCAAAAAGGTTCAGAGGTGCCTTCAATGGCGAATTGAGTTTTAACTGTGTTGATGTACCTTCATGATTCATTTGGAGTTTTTGTTCAGACATGGAAGGTAAGCTTGAAGTGTCACACCTCTGAATGTACACTTTCCCTGACTGCAACCATGGCAAAAGATCAACAAATACCCATTACTACTCATCCAAAGCAATACTAAAAATTACAGAAGAGTCGCACATGATCTATAAAACTCTGTATCATCAGGTGAATAATTATAAACATGTGCCTTTAATTTGTTAAAGAAATAATAATTTAACCAATATGAGTATGAAGTGAAGAAAGTTATTAGCATACAATTAGAGATGAGAAGTATACAGATCTCCCAAGTGTAAAAATCAGATTAAACTGAACCAAAAGGTAGGTAAAGACCTGAAAAGCTGTGAAATGATATAAATCATCAAGCGTGTAAAACTTAGAAAGATGAAGGCCCTGTTTTATTAGACATAAATGCCAACGTACAAAAACAAAACGGATTGATTGCAGGCTTGCGGTTACATTAAAAGCCAAAAGCTTAACGTATTTCTGAGAGAGATCAAATCAATTAAAAAATAATAGTAATTTACTTTTACTCACATATATCCTTCTTTCACTCCAGTTTCTCAGCAGCCAATCAGATGGCCACAAAATCAAATCACATAACTTCTAAATCAAGCATCAATAACAAGTATACACAAACAAAACTCCAAATTCTGGAGGAGGAGAGGAAGAAGAAGAAGAAACCGCTTCGATTGAAGAAATTTGTATGCAAAACAGGAAATGAAAATTCCACTCGGATTAACTACAATTAAGTCGTTCAGTTTTCGAAAAAGAAGATTCACAGATATAATTAAGACAATAACCAGTGGATTTATCAGTATTCATCATAAACCACAAATTCCAGTAGGCTATCCAACAGCAATAATTAATTTTCCCGGGAAACAAATAGAAATACAGAAATACTAGATTCGCGAAGCACCTCGAGGTCCAAGCGTTTCTCCCATCCACTAGGAACCGGAAGGTCAAGATCCAAATCCTGAGATTCGACGACGCAATTAGAGGTGCCGCCGAGCAGGTCTCGAGTAATCAGAGCCACCGGTTTCTCGCGGGTGGAATCATTCACCGCCGGCCGGTGCTGGTCGTCCTTGCAGCCTCCGCCTCCCAGGATCTGAACCAGAGAGCTTACGTCGGCAGCCATTAATACCTTCGAGAGAGCTTCTTCGTCTTCTCCTTGGCGCTTTCGGAGAGGGAGGGAGGGAAGGAGAGATAGTATAAATAGAAGTGATTGTGTTGTTCATATGCAAGCAATTGCGACAAGTACTATACAGACTACAGAGTCCGTTATTTATTTAAAATAAAAACTAGATAAATTTGAATTTATTGCAGTTCGTATTACGGGGATTACAGGGAGTTAGAAGAATGGCATGTAGTATGTGAGTATTATTATTATTATTATTATTAGTATTATTCTATCAAAAAATGTATTATTAGTATTATTAATCATTTATGAATTACCATAAATTTCATAGTAGTTGTAGTATTTTACAGCGACTTCTCCAATTTTAAAACAATTAACAATAACAAATTTGTAATTTTTATACTGCGCTGTCTAACTGTACTTTTTTTAATGAAATTTTCAATAAAGTATTGATATTTTTAGGAGAAGTCTTAGGTTTACTTAACTTTTAACCTTATATTCTATACTTGATATATTTTTATCCAAACAAATCAAATCAAGTTAATTTTACAATAATTAATAATATTAATAATAATTTTTTTATAAAATAAGTAAATAATAAATAAAATATCTACATGTTTTGATCTAATAGTAAACAAATACTTTAAATATATACTCTCTTAGAACCAGCCACAATATAGGGCATATTTTAGACGTATTACTTGATTTAAAATATAAAGTATTAAATAATTTTTATAATTATTTTTTAAATTTAAATTATCATTATCAGAACATTTATATAAGGTATTTAATAATAAAATTGAAATGATGTAATTTTTTAAAAAAATTAATATTTCAACTAATTTTTTTAAAAAATTATAAATTAATTATTACTATTTTATATTTTGGTCTACAGAGAATAAAGTTTTGTGTATGAGCTTTTTTTTTTATTATTTTCATCCAATTTATAAGAAAATGTAGCGAGCCGTGTATCGGATTTGTGGTTAAAATTCAACGTTAACCGGGGGCATGTTGACAAATATATATATATATATATATTTAATCAAGGTCAATGTTCAGCCCAAAAAAAAATTAAGGTCAATGTTTTTTCTTAATCCTTGTAATTTAATTATTTTTTCTTGATAGAATGACACGTATGGCCCCTTAAGAGAATTTATCACAATAAAAACTATTAATTTTATATTAAATATTATCTTGTAAAAATATGTATATGTTGTTGTTAAAAGTTAGAAAGGTTTTAGTTTTTAACAAAAATATATATATGTTTTCGCAAGATAATATCTGTTGCAAAATTGATAGGTCTTTATTGTAATAAATATTTTTAAAAGGGCTTTAGATGTCATTCTTCCTTTTTCTTTTATAGTATTTGGAATAAAAGGTACTATAATAATTAATATTAATATTAACATAGTATTATCTTAAATCTTAAAATTTTAAAAATGGAGAGAGGGGAAATTCTAGGATTTCTTGCCCGAGTAGGTGGTGCATAGTCAAAGAATTGCAAGAGATGCTAATGAAAATGCTGATATGCTTGTTAAGATAGCCTTTTCTTGTGTTGTCGGATTTCATCCTTTATTTTGGTTTAGATATAATATAATATAATTTTGATATAGAATATCAGTACTATTGTTTAGTTTCTGTTTTTTTATCAAAAAATAAAAATAAAAATGGATAGAGGGAGTAACATTATGTATAATTTCAAAAGCCCTCCATAATAATTAGGTGTTGAAAAAGTTTAGTTAAAGCGATTAATTGTTCAATAAATGTGGGGGCAATTAATTAATAATGGGTAGTGGAGGAGGGGGAAGGGAAGTGAAGAAAAAGGGGGCATGCAAGTGATGGGAGCATTAAATGTGAGGAATGGTTGAGGGATATTATTACCATAATTGTTTCATTTTCAATTCAAACACTTTTTCTTAACTCCTTTCAAATTTGCGAAAAATCTTATCTCTTAGTTAGTACTACCATTTTTATTTTAATCAATTTTAATTTTATCTTTTTTAACAGTCTAATATTTTTCGTTCCAAAAGATAAAGGTGCAATAAGTTATATACATAAAAAAAATCATTAAAAGATAAAAAAGAAAAATTTAAACAGTCTAAATCACTTAACATTAAAGAATCTCATTTCAATCTTATCACAGAGGGGGTTCATTCATCTTGAATTTGTGTTCTAATTAATGTCATTAATTGTGACCAATAAATACACGGAATCTTTAAATTTTGGTTGATTTATTGATTTCGAGAAAGAAAAGCTAGAGGGCTTAAATAAGATACCCATTAAAATAAATTTATTGGGCTTAATTGAATACTATATAAATATTCTCTCCAAACTACAATATAAATAATTATTAACTATTAACTAAGTCACACTTGCGAAAAAAAAATTGACTAAAATCTTGATTTTCAAAAAAAAATTACATATTTGACTTATTCAAAAAATTTTCATTAATTACTCAATAAAGTAAGAGAGTAATTGAAATATATATATATATATATATATATAACACATACTCAATACTTTATGTTTTGGATCAAGTATAATTTTCAAAAAATAATTTATATTATGGTCCGAAGGAAGTATATATCACTAATATTGACAATGTTCTCCTTCGAGATCTATTTATATAAGAGAGAAAAATATTTTCTATCCTATTAATAAATCATATCATTAATTTTTTATTGCAATTTTTTATTTTATCCTCCACTAAGTATTGAAAAAATAATTAAATTATTAAAATAAAATATGTAATAAAAATATAGTTTAAAACTTATTAAACTTTTAATTAAAGTTAATAACAAGTTTCCATATATTTCTCGATTCCATCCAAATATATTAGAAATTAGTTTTTAAATAAGACATGAGGGAAGCACAATATTGTGAACCATCATTAGAATAAATTTTTAATTTTTAATTTTTAATGAGAAAAACTATTAAAATGAAACAGAGCATTACATTAAGAATGGTTTCAACTTTCAACAATGGAGCTGACGAATGAAGATTGAATTGAAATTTGATGGTTTTAGCATGATTTATTTAATATTTCTACCAATTTAATTCAAAATATATATACTTATGTGGTAATTTATAATGTATAATTACATATTTCTTGCATGTTCATTTTTATTCATTTATCAATGCTTATTAATTAAGTATAAAAATGTATAAATTGTAACTTAGAAATATGAAATAAAATTTTTATAAATAAAAAAGGACCAATTCAAACGGTGTACCCATCGATTCTGCTGAATTTGATCGGTTTTCAAATTACGTGTTTTTCTATTTTAATCAAACTAAACTTAGAATATGTTTCCTGTTTAAGTTAAAAATTTGACTGGGCTGAAGTCAACAGAGGTAAAGTTATAAACTTATTAAACTTTTTAAAAAAATATAATTTTAAATTTCTGCACTTTGCTCAAATTTTGTTATAAGTTTTACACTTTTTCAGTGTTTTAGGTTTCAATATTTTTGTTTTTCAATATTTTAGGTCCCTCTATGACCAGTATTACAAGGATTTAAAATATTGAAAAACAAAAGTATTGAAACCTAGAATACTATAAAAAATATAAGAATTTATAACAAAATTTGAGTAAAATGCAGGAATTTAAAATTAGTTTTTTCAAATTTTTATATAAAGTTAATATATTTTAAGATTTGTCTTGGTGCCGATAAAAAATATTAAAAATAATTTGTAAAAAGGACAAACAAAAATTATATTATGAACTAATGGTAAACAATGGTCTTGCATAAAAATATTTTGAATTAAATATTCAAATTTATACATAATTTTAATTAACGTGACGATATTAATAAGAAACACACATATCATATGATTTTTAGAAAATGGTATAAAAATTCATTTCAAATATGCAAATGATAATAACATTTCATAAAATATGACAATTCTTCTCAAGTCCCTTTAAACCTATGTGGCATTAACATCTTTTGTGAAATAACAATAATGAGTCCAATTTAAAATATCAATGATTACTTTAATTTAAATAATAATTATTTTTTTTAATAATGACTAAAACGAGATAACAAATGATAAGTTTCACAATATAAATTTTTTAATCATTGAAGTCAAATTGTTGTATATATCAGTTATTACTTGTGTTTAAATAATAACTATACTTTTTTTGGCAATAATTAAAATAAGATAAGCAATTACAACTTTCCTTATGAGAATTTTTTAATCACAAGAGTCCAAATATTGTAAATATTAGTAGTTATTTTAATTTAAGTAATAACTATTTTTTCAGCAATGATTAGAACAAAATAACAAACAACAAGTTTCATAATACAAATTTTTTAATCACTGATCCATTTCTTTTTTATTTTAAATTGGGGCATTATACTCATTTTACAAAAGACATTAATGTCAAAAGTCTTAAAGAACTTAAAAAAATATCACATTTTGCAAGATTTAATTATCATTTACATATTTTAGAGGATTTTTTTTGTTATTTTCACATGATTTTATTAAAAATTGAAATTGTAAAAAACATAAGAAATTATTCCAAAGGAAGACTTAAAAAAGGGGAGAATTACTTTGAAATCACAAACAATACTATTAAACACTATAAGATTGATTAACAATTGATCAAAGAAAAATGACAATAGTTAGTTGTCAATGAACCTTATGATGTTTAATAATATTATATGAAACTTATATGTAATTTTTTTCTAAAAATTTCAAGGGTCATATTATTCAGTATTAATTGATATTCATAACTTGATTTATTTTTTTAGAAAAATTAAATACATTGACCTCACTTTAATCATAGGTACCTTCTATTTTATGTTTAAAACCCATACAAATCCCTGTTAAAATCTAAACTAAACATTAACTTCCTTTGTACATTTTGGATTTCACTTCCATCATTTTAGCCAGTAGTTGATCTTGAAATCATATATGATGGACAAAAATACCCACTTTAAATATAAATATTATCTAAAAATTATTTAAGCAATAAAAAATTTAATGGATATATATTTTTACTCTTTTATTCATATTTTAATTTTTTTCAGTTATGAAAACTTATTTACTTATTATTTTTAAAAATAAAATACATAAGTTGTCTAGAATAATATTCCAAAC